TTATTCATTCAGACTCTTTTTCTGAGGTTCAATTCAATGAGTTAATAACTTCAAAATACTTTATTTTAGCTGGAATAAATTTTCGCTGAAAAGACATTTTGGGTGTTTTGTATGGAATTTAATTTCACTGATTTTTGACAAGTTTAATGTAAAATATAGGGAAAAAGGTATAATTGCTGGATTTTATTTCCACTGAATCATTCCTTCGTCAAAAATTAATTTCAAGCGAAAATAAAGTATTTAACAGTAGTTGGAAAGAACATGCTTTCAAATATAGCTGTTTTTCATTTTAAATTCATCTAAATACAAATGACGAATATCAATATAATCACATATAATTTCCAGTGTGGTAAATTAAAACTGTAAAATAGAATTACAAAAGGTAACAACAAATAAATTCAATAATGTCAGCTAACTTTTTAAAATGCATGGCTACCCCCAATTTTAATAATAATTTTACTCTCCTACCTCTATTTCAAAATAATATTTCAGTGTGGTCCACTTCTATATGGGTTTTTGGACCCAAAAGACATTGTATTCAATGTACAGAAAAGTTCCCCATTTAATACTGTAGTTGTCTGGGTAAGTGCCCATGCCCGGGCAAATGTCCAACCCTCTAATTTTGATACAATAAAGGAATTGAGGCCATGTCCGGGCATACACCCAGGGGGTCTTTTTCTACACTTGTAATAAAAAAAAATAAAAAAATCTATTTTGTGTTCATTGTATTAACAGTTGACTTCCTTGAAGTTTGTTGTGATTCTGATAAAAATTCTTGAAACATAAAATGTCAATTGCATAAAACGAGGGGTGAATGCGAAATAGCCATGACAGCAAAATAGGTAATTTCGCGTTCTGCGTTCAGGGCATCGATGTTTACGTAATTTACATTTATGTTTATATACAAAATGTAAAATAAAGCAGAAATGTTAGTTCTCTTTTTGAAATACCTCGTGGCCCTGAAGAGGGCTGATTGGTTTGAGTTCCTTAGAAACAATTCAATCAAATCTTACAGTATCAAGAGCTCGTTCGGCTTTAACGTCATCGTCAATGAAACCAATGTTGCAATATAGTAGCAACTTGTACCCAGAGAGTGGTTGAAAGCACATTGTTTTGGCTTTATAAAATATTTGGTTGCAGTCTGTTGGTTAAGGCAGGCAATTTTGCAATGTCACGCCGATGACTTGACCTCTATGAAGAAACACTAGTAGTGATGCCATTTTTAGCCAATCAGTAAAGCAGATGCTTAAAGGTCAAAGATGATAGAGAAGAGTCATTTCACGCAACCCCATTTTTCTGTTTATTGTGAAATCCGTGGATTAAAAGTGCCAAGTCCAAATTGTGTGTGACAACATTGATGAACTTCAGAAAGAAGCTGTTATACAGTAGTGGTTTTGTTGAACGGCGACAGTGACGCCAACTTGGACTTAGAGGGTTTGACTTTGACAAAGATAGCAATGATCGTGCAAATAAAGATCTGAAAAGTTTTACTTTCGTAATTTTCACTGTGTAAATTCGGTATTTGTCCAAACCAGTATTAATTTTACGCAGTTTAACCCTTGACATTTTAGTTCATTTTGAGTTCATGAGTATTGGGTGGGTTTGTGGCGGGGAAATCCTAATTCAAATAATTCCTCACTGTCGATTTTTATTATTTCTGGTTTATTTGTCACATTATAAGCAATAAATTATTTTTATTATACTTCTTCATTTATTTCCGTTGCATGTTTTCATTTACCATTCTACTCCCCGTCGCAGTTTCATCTGCAAATTTTCCTTTTTTTTTGCAGGGGATATCCGAGCAAATGCCTACCCTTATCTTTTGGCAATTTTCCATATTCAGGACCTTTGGCGCTTACCCAGACAACTACAATATGTAGTACTGTTCTATAGTCTCCATAGGAATGTTTTTTCCAATGTTGACAACATACACAGAAGGTACTTATTCATATTCAACCTAAAGAAGTTACTGCAAAAATATTGTGAATTAGTTCAACTCCACAATAAATATGACAGTCGCTATTCTAGTTTTTGATTACAGGTTGATAATCCAAATCAAATGACCTCATATATTCAGCAATTTTTGTAGTACCATGTGTTAATCTCACCTTTCTATATTCCTTCTGACATCTGATATTTCAACATTTCCTCTTAACATCAGTGCACACGCCAAATACAGACTATGTTTTGGGTCAGCTTTGATTAACTGGTGGTCTTTGGAGAAAGCATCACTGAACATCTGATCTAACCTGGTGAGTAGAAACCACAACTGTATGCCTTCACAATCACACACAACACATACATGTATGGTTAAGACAAAGCACATCTGGGCTAGTATGCACTGCACACACATATATATATATATATATATATATAATACTACAATACTTTATTGACATCATTCTGTTTGAAGAGAACATACAGTCAAGTGCTAAACTAATAATTAAAATAAAAAAAATAAAAAATATAAGATTAGAAAAGGAAGAAATAAATGTATTTTAATAAATAAATAAATAAATAAATAAATAAATAAATAAATAAATAAATAAATAAATAAATAAATAAATAAATAAATAAATAAATAAATACATAATTATATAAAATTATAAAATATTGATATATATTTAAAATGCACCACATTCTCAAGATAATGTAATTGTTGAAATGGAACTATTAAAGTTCTTGTCTTTACCTTCACTTACCATATCAGATAATGCTTTTGTCAGACTAGATACAATGTGATTTGAATGCTCAAAGAATACATCTGTAATTTTCTGGTATTTTATCAAAATTTCCTGAATTGTTTCAATCGTTTGAGACAAATGGCCTAAGTGTTTTCTGTTAAATTTGTTTTTTTTTACACCACAAATATGGCAACAATGTTCCATAATGCTAGTTTTTTGAGACAACTGATTAAGATAATGTAATTGTGGAAATGAAATTAAAGTTCTTGTGTTACATTCAGGGGTATATTTATATAAGATCATACACAGAGCAGCCTCAGACTAAATTCATGATAATTTAAAGTGGAAATGAAATTAAAGTTCTTGTGTTACATTCAGGGGTATATTTATATAAGATCATACACAGAGCAGCCTCAGACTAAATTCATGATAATTTAAAGTGGAAATGAAATTAAAGTTCTTGTGTTACATTCAGGGGTATATTTATATAAGATCATACACAGAGCAGCCTCAGACTAAATTCATGATAATTTAAAGTGGAAATGAAATTAAAGTTCTTGTGTTACATTCAGGGGTATATTTATACAAGATCATACACAGAGCAGCCTCAGACTAAATTCATGATAATTTAAAATGGAAATGAAACTAAAGTTCTTGTACTCACCTTCTAGGAGGTAAATTTATATCAGATAATGCGTAAAGTGGAGTTAGACTGGATACAAGATAATGTAACTGTGGAAAAGGCACCAAATTCATCGTAATTTCATTCAAATCAACATTCAGAGAACCTTCAAATCTTGCAGAACTGTAAAAAAAACAAAAAATTTTTCGAAACAAGAGTTCTTACATACCGTTTACGAAACAAGCCAAATTGTGAAATACAAAATTGTTCAACGAGGGAAAGGTTATCACTCTTGGTGTAACCAAAGTAGATACAGATATATTAAAGGGTATGCAACTTTCAAAACAGTCACCAGCGATTAATCATAAAGCGGTAGGGTGGTCACCTACGCATAAGCAGTAATTGAGTCCCAAACGTCGATAACGTACAACACACGCTAAAAACGCAAAGGCTCATGAGTAGATGCTTGTTTGTAAACAATGACACGCTATGGCCATCTGACGCATGCGTAGTTCACGACTCTCCCGCTTTAACAGATTGGCCCCTGTTGGAGATCCGGAGAACAAAGTAACAATTAAATTCAGTAAATGCCATAAATGATGTGCAATTGGACGTACTGCTAGCGTTGTAAATCTAACTTTCAGACAACATTTTGATTAGATGAGGAGCTTTAATGGTATTTATACAGTGACAGACCAAAACAAGTGGAACTGTTAATATTGAAGGTTGTTTATTAAGTATTAAAATTGATACAGGACCACCTGTGTCTGTAATTTTGAAAAGTTTATAGAAGCAATATTTAACTCTATTGTCTTTGAAGTCATCTTAATCTTATTCCGGAGAAACGTTGAATGTGTTGAGAAAAATAAAGTTACTATTAAGTACAAGTCTCACAAAGTCCAATTTCCACTTGTAATTGCAGGTAACTGCCCACCTTTATTTGGTTGTAATTGATCAAAGTATTTGATTAGTCAAGTATTTTTATGATACAAGTCACAGTCCCTCTATCCCCGGTCTGGATCAAAAGCGCGTTGCGGGTACGGGCAAAGCATTGTCATGTGATCAATACACTGTCGGTCACTATTTTTGACATTGTCAGTGCTATGTGTTTTTTACAACTTAGTTGTTTATTCCAGAATTTCAGCTTTTTCACATATTTTTTTAATCTGGATATCTGTATGAGGTCATATTTTAGCCGGCAAGTAGTTCTTTAATTCATCTATTTTACCAGTGGCGACACACATATTCATACCTTTACAAGGAAATTTTGGGGTGATTGAAATGAACTCTATTTTATTCACCCTACTTCTTGGTGCGAAACCAATATTTGTCTTTGATTTTGACATTTTATGGTCGAAAAATACCAATAAAAATTGGTGGGCTGATTGGGCAATTTTTATGCATGCCTTTTCAATCGTAAATGCAAATGGCGACGTTTTGAAATAACAATGTACGCTATTCAGTGCTAAAAACATCATTTACATACAAAAATTGAAGCATTGTTTTATACTTTTGCATTGAATAAAGTCATTGGTTGTTGTATAGTTGACTTGAACTGTTATGAACCCCCAAGAATCAGAAATATCACAGGATTTTCGATTGACTATGTTAACACGAATGATGCCATTTTGACAAGATTTGTTTAGCGATGTCAGCATGTTGGTATGCAAAGTTTTTGCCCTATTAAAAATAGAAGATGAACATAATTCCCGATATTAATCTTTACATGACAGGAACTGGATGTTTATGAGTTGGTAGGCATGTTTTGATGCGTATCAGGGTTCAAAAACACCAAATTTAATATGCTAATTTTGTTTACATGTTTTGTTTACATAGTAGTTGCCCGAATTTGAAGTCAAATTGAAGTCATACAATGATGTATCGCTTTGCATGACGGTAAATTTGCAGATTTTAATGAATATTCTGACGATAGTGTAATCTGACTCCCTCGGCCCGGGTGTGAACGATTTGTTTCCCCGCAATGCGGTTCGAGACAAAAGAACGCGAGTCTCCAGACCGAGGATAGAGGGACTGTGTACAAGTGAAAAGAGATTCTTTTAGATTATGTATTAATGATGAACCAGGATGCATTGTTAACTACCGTTCACTCGGCCAGTATCATGTCAACAAGCAACTTAACCATTCCAACAACAAATTTTACAGCACCAGTATCCACATACACAACAACACAGCCAGCTTTGCCACCCATTCACACCAATGCAGACAATTCAATCAGTTTTATGTTGCACCACCAATTGAGATACTGACTGACATGTGTATGCCTTATGTTGATCAGTTGCCCTCAAGATATTGCAGATTTATGATTTATCGTTGTTTCACACAGATAACAGTTTACCAAATTTCAAGCTCAAGACAACCCTGGCATAGCAAATTTAACTATACAACCTAAGCACAGAGTGAATGATGATTTTGAAAGTTGAGTTTCATTGCTTTTCAACATATACTAATTATTACTCGCACTATTTCCTAGACAAGACATTGCATTTCTTCAATTATTAATGATTCATGACCAAAAAAGCTAAATGCCGAAAGCAACTACTTAGCTTCTTAGCATATCGTCAAGACATCATATGGTACAATGACCAACAGGTTTTGAGAAAAATCATTTTTTACCCAAAATGAAAAAATTGAAAAAATTGAAAATATTGCCACAAAATGAGAAAATCTGACAGAAGTCCATTCAAGGTACCGGGTACTTACATACCAAGTATCAAAGCAATCTTCAATGACAGCAGGGTTAATATAAGTAATAAGAATGGTATTTACCTTGTCATATTGAGAAGCAAATTAGCAACAATGTTATTCATTTTATCAAATGGTTTTTCATCACTCTTTTTCACTAGACCACCAGCACTAGCAGTAACAGCACTATCAGCTTTCACTCTGGAATGACCACCAACCATTCTTTTACCAGTCTTCTCCGGTGGCAGTGCTTGAGAGATTTTGTGACATATATCATACAATGCCTGCAAGTCAGAACAAATAGATGCTGCTACAAGTAGGAAGATATAACTGAAGGGGAATCAAAACACTTTTGGTGTAGCTTACCTGGTTTTCTACAGGTAGAACACAGTCAGCATGCTGAGTCAGTTGATGCATTGCTAAAACACTATTGTATGGTGATGTAATGACATCATCTTCAGCCGAGGGATAAACAGCTGTAACAAATCTGTAATCAAACCAAAACAATGTAAACGTGGTAGACAAACTATCTTTGCCAGATTTCATCAGCAGCTATCAAAGAATACTATGGCAAAAATCACCATAATGGAGCTGCTGAGAGTCAAGATCAACTCTCTAGACTAACCCCAAACACTGATGTTTTCTTATGCATGAAAATTAACAAAAAAAACATACCACCCTATCTCAGATTTACTCAAAATGTATTACCCTCTTAAAACATAGCTACAATTGTTTTTTTTAGTTGAATGCATGCTTTATATATTCTTATAAGAGAATTTGAAAAAAAAGTAAATTTGATATTTTCACAACCTATACTACATTCTTAGTATAATCAATGCGTAGATGTAGAAATCCAAAAGTTGAGCAAACTGAGGAAAATTATTATAACTTTCTTGCAATAAACTTCATTTTTAAAAAACGTCTACCATCTTGGAAATATCTTGCAGCTGTTCCATATTTGGAATGCACATTTCCATACAAGGTAGGATGCAGATACCCTGTGCAATACCGCTAAATTCGGCATGCTGCAACTTATGGTGATTTAGTGACAAACAATATTTCTATATCACAAATAGTAAAAGAATAATATTTACTGATTTAAACAATGAATAAATGCATTATTTTTGGTTTGTTTTTTGCATTTGTATTAGAAATGTTGATCCAATAGTCTAGAACAAATACAGAATATACTTAAATGTATTAATTATTCGCTTGTTTTTAATTTCGCTATTTTCGTTGATAAGTGAAATTCACTAAATTAAATCCATGTGAAAATAAAACACAATGAAATTGCTGAAAACAATACCAGTAAAATAAAATGGTTTCACAGCAGTTACATGTACCAAGACCTCGCTATAATATATTGACAAGTTTGTGGCATAACGTAAAAAGAACCAGTTGGTACAATTCAAAATGGTGGAACACTCTTACTGTTTATTAGCATTGAACTCTGGGTAATTAGAGCAATGACGTAATCATCCTCAAATAGAAACTTCAAAATATTACACCTGCTACCAGTTATTATACCCAGCGTACCTATAGACATCTGGAAATTCATCACTGAGTAAACTGAGCACTGAAGTACCAACACCAGAACCAGTACCTGTAATTAAATATGTATACAGTTATTAAGGCATGAAGTGATAAATATGACGTAACATTTCTAACAAGGTAAAGTAAACTATAGTTTCCATGTATGACAACTGAATAAATACTAAACTGAACAACAGAATTTTTCATCATGTCATTCAACATGTATTTGCAGTATATTTTTGTGTTTATGCGTTTTCTCAGACTTTTTCAAGTGTAAGTTCTAGCCTATCCCATTTGCACTCATTCCAACGTTGAAAACGACATCATTAAAACTGAATGCATTCCAGAATATTCACATATATTAATACTTTTTTATATTTACATCAAACATGGCACAACTATAGCATGTGATGAAAATAGAATTATTTGTCACTAGCATTATCTCTCAAGCAGCAAAAAAGATGTATGATATTAATATGAAAATACCATAAAGTATGCAGTCAGGTGGTACAGGGTCGCATCAACCTCATCTAAAAGTTGGTTGATGTGACCATCTTGTGCATTTGTGCATGCAAAATTTTTTTGATAACCTCACACATTCAATTTAGCAAAACTGTAATTTCGCTAATTCAGGGAGTAGCTACTTTAAAAGAAATGATATTCTCAAATTGATATTATTGACTCTTTGATAGCTAAATTATATGAAGGCTAAATTCATGCATCGAGTCAAATTTACTAAAATGGCATAAAGCTATTTCAAAATGTTTTGCAGTATCATTCTCCAATAACTTTTTACCTCCTCCCATGGAATGTAGAACAAAAAAACACTGTAGACAGTCACATTGTTCAGCAGCTCTTCGTATTGATTCTGTTATTTCTTCTCGATATTGCTGACCATACATCATGTGACCCACAGCCCTATGAAAACAATCAAATTAATTTTTTTTAGTAAAACTCAGCTCATCAGATACAGATTTACAATGAAGCAAATATTACACATGGTCACAGGAGAAGGGAGTGCCTAATTGCCTTAGATTGATGCATGTATCAATATATCGGCAACATATGCATACTGCCCTCTAGTGTTATGATTTGATTTTCCATTGTTTTTAGCTTAGCGAATGCAGTGAAGGTTGTTTGCAAGTATTGGAACTGAAACTCAGATTTCCATGACTTTTACACAATAGTTTTATATTTTGTGTTGTTCACAAAACTGACATAAAAATATGTAGTCACAGAACTATTTTTACAGTGAAAAAATAACTAGTATGGTAAATCATGAAAACAAAGATGTTTGAGCCATTTAACACATGGTTCCTATGGAGAAGAGATTTCATCGTATCTGAAAATATCTGTCACTGACTTACAAAAGAACATTGTGATAGCCAAAATGACACCTAAATTAGGGTATTTATGGTAAAATAAGAAAAACAAGCGTATACACATTGACTTTGAGAGAACTGACAATAAACTTTTTTGGTGTGTCTTGGGTACCCTTCATACAATACATAGACCTACCAATTATTTCCTGACCCTGATACATCGGTTATGAGTTGCCTGCAGTCAAACACATCACCCAACGGTCCCTTTAACAGATCATTAACAACACCTTCTTCCATATCAATCAAAACAGCCTACAATGAAAAATATCAATTCACATACAGTGAATCATATTCATAAAAGGACACAGGAAAAAAATATGGAATCATGGAATAATCACATACAGGATGATATTGTATCCTGGACAATCAACTGATATACTTTACTTCCAATTAAGCTAAATCTCACAACAAATTTACTTTCTGGATTAAAATTACAATGGATAACAAAAGATAGATTAACTTTGTAAACAACATAAACAACAGTGTCCCATGATTCTTTGGTGCAATCCATGGGATTGAGCAGTTCCCCTTTAGGAACCCTAGAATCGTACCAATCATAATTGGAGTTTCAAACCCACGACTATATTATACAAATAGTGTGCTTACTTACTCTAGCCTTGAGTGTTTTAATCTTGTTTTTACCAATCCCAATTGGTATATTAGCAGGATCATCATATCTATATAAAAGAATATTAATACATAAAAAAATAACAATTTTAAAAACAAAACAAAAGAAAAATTTGTAACCTTTCAAATATATTTTCAAACCCAAAATAATGTGATAAAGTTTCAATGCACTGAATGTCTCAATTTTTACATTTTTTTCATAGTGAAAATGGCCACCAATTAACAAAATACTGTAGAATACTTTATTTTAGCTGGAATTAATTTTCACTAAAAAGAATTTTTGGGTGTTTTGTATGGAATTTATTTTCACTGATTTTTGACAAGTTGAATGTAAAATATAGGAAAAAAGGAATT